CCGCGGCCCTCCGCTTTTCCTCGCGGGCTGACGGTCGCTAATTCCAGTCCATCCGCCGCGCGCCGAGGTTAATTTCGCCTGCCTCTCTCGAGGGCCCGAAGGAGAGCGGAGCGCGGTAAGGACCGAGGGGAGAAAGCGCCGGCGGGACTGCGCCCCCAAAGCTCCGCCGGCCTTGAGGAGAAACCGACGGGAGGGCCTCCCCCGCCCCAGGGTTGCGGCTTAATGCCGGGGACGGGGACGGCGCCCCCTACCCCCGGCCTTCCGGGTAAGGCGCAAAACCGGGTGTGAAAGCACCTGCCGAACTCGTCATGCATCCGTAAGTCCGAGGTAGTCTGCTTCTAACAAGGGAGGCTCTGTTGAATCATCGCCGCGGGTACTCTACCCGTTCATCCCTTAGCGCGAGGTGGTATGCTGCTAACGAGGGAGGGTCTGTGGAAGTACCGCTGCTCGCAGCAGCTGAAAAGGCCCCTCTCTAGATCCGCCTTCTCCACTTTGGGGCTACAGTTCTCTTTCTTACTCAAAAGCATGAGTCTTGGCTTTGCTGGCTGGAGAAGATGGGAATCGAACAGATTGGGTTAGTGCCAGATTAGATGAGCTTAACTAAAGGTAATAGCGCTAAACGATTCATTCCTCCTCCCCCCCCCAAAAGTGGGGACAAAATTGAGGGCTTTCCTTGGAAGGGTCATTTCCCTCCCCAGGAGAAACTTCATTTAATTAGTCATTCATCGTATTGTTGGCTGGCTTTTCTGCAAAGAGCTCTGGTTGATACATGAAATTTGCTTTCTCTCTTTTGCTTTTTATCCTGACCCTAATCTGATTTTTTTTTTTTTTTTAAATAGTTACTTTCTTTCCAGGTGATGAAAATCTTCACTTACCAAGCAGGCAGTTGTTAAAGGGGATGTTGTGGAGCTTGAAGAGAAATTGGCATGGGGAGAAAATATACTGGGATCAATCCCAAAAAAACTAGGGTTAGTCAAAGAAAGGGAGACTTAATGATTTAAGATCTGTTGGAGTATGCCATATATTCCTGGAAAGCTTGAAAACAAATAGACGAATATGTACATATTGTAGAATGCAAAGAGCTTGGCTTTTTTAGTGATCCAAAATGAGATTCAGAATTGCCCTAGTTGCTGAGACATTCTGAGGTCAGTTTACCCAATTGCTTAATGTTGCATGTTTATGCTCACCTGGGATCACTTATTCACTAATTCTGGATGGTAGGTTTTGCCTTGGTTTGAATTGCTCTTTCTATTCAGTATTTTTATTAGGAAGATCAGCAACACAGTCATGCCTGAGGTAAACACAAATGATCTGGATGAGCAGCAACTGCGGTTGCTGGCAGAGATGTGCATCCTGATAGATGAAAATGACAACAGGATTGGTTCAGATACAAAGAAAAACTGCCACCTGAATGAAAACATTGACAAAGGTAAAATGTGATTTAAAGTGTATTATATGCAAGGAGAATCTTGCATAGCTCAACTGGGTCAAAGACTTCGCTGCATGATACAGAGCCACATTTCTTGCCTCCAGATATCTGCACTTTAGTTGTAGATCAAGATAAAACCAGAAAAAGAGAACTAGAGGAAATGTTAAAGAAATGCTGTTGAACAGGTGTATTTGGATTAATACTGTTCTTGTGACAATAGGTTGTAAACATTTTCACATAGAGAAGCTGAAAAGCTTCTAGCAGATTACTCTTTCATCTCAGATGTAGCCTGTCATTCCATTTAGATTTAGTATTATATATGTTTTACCTGCTGCATAAGGATTTAGAAGTTCTCTTTAAGCATCAATAGAATGCATTAACTGGTTTGTCTTTTCATGTTACTACTTGCAGGCTCAGTTAAAATAAGATACACATTCCACTTCGCGTGCAAATTTGGGCTTGGTAAATACAGGTAGTCCCCAGTTTAAGAATGAGTTCTGTTTCAGAGGTCTGTCCTTAAATTAGATGTATATGTAAGTTGGAAGAGTATGATTGTATAATACTGTATAAGTAGTATTATGTAATTAACTTGAACCATTGTATATTTAACTGGAATCATTGTGTATTTAACTCGAATTTTGCTACAGTAGGCTCCATTCATAACTATGGGTTGTCTGTAACCTGGGTGTTCTTAATCCAGGGACTACCTGTATATGACTTTTGATATCTCTAGTGGAAGAGAAAAGATAAGCAGTGTCTTAGTAGATGCTTTGGGGAGAAGAAAAAATGTGGTGGAGTGACTTGCTATTAAATAGACACAAGAACAGATTATTTAAATAAAAGGACAATGAATTAATCCAGTGGATGGAATTTGCTTCTAGCTGATGTAATATGGGAGTACAACTTGACTGATTACAGATTCTGTAAGAAAGTGGTCTCCAAGCTAATTTATTAATGACATTTTCCCTGGAGAGAAAGAAAGCACATAAGCTGTTGATTTCAGTAGAAGCCTTATTTTGTACCAGTATATTTTAGGCTAACCTTCAACTCCTAAGGATATAAAAATATCTTAAGTATATTTCTGAAAAGCTCTCAAAAGAAGGTTATTAGCTATACAAGATTTTCTTTGTATCTTATCCTAAAAGAACTATCACAGTATTTCAAATAAGAGTTTTGCTTAGGCCTTGTAGAGAATTGCTTCCTTGTCAGGCATTAGTTTTAAAATTAAAAGTTGATGTTAGCAGAAACAGACATTAAATGTATTATCTTTGCGGTACAATCTTTCTACAGTCATTGCCCATCTTTCTTTACTAGGATTATTGCATCGTGCCTTCAGCGTGTTCTTGTTCAATATGGAGAATAAGCTACTGTTGCAACAGAGATCAGATGCTAAAATCACTTTTCCAGGTTTGTAACAATAAATGCCATCGTTACAGCTGTGTAGCATAGATTCACCTGCAGTTTGAATACATTCTATACCCAGATACACCATGCAGTGCTTGAGGAACAAAAAAAGTCATCTATTAAATTATAAGAGGATGAGATTTTTTGATAGATCAAACCCCTAAAAGCTGGTTTATAGTGTGCTGATATTTTTCAACAAATAAATAATTGGGGAAGCAGTATGAGAGCTGAAGCTGACAAAAAATCTGAGACTAGACAGAATTTGTATCAAAACACTACAAGTGCCTTCAACATACAAGGCTGAAAAACACATAAATATGACTGATCCCTAGATTCTTCAGTAAATGATTAAAAGTGCTTCATTTGTATTTGCAATAAAAGCAATTTATCAATCCAAACTCATCCTTGAATTTTCTGCAGCTAATCTAATCAACATGTAATTTGCATTCAAAGACAGACTTTATTTTTTGCCATGGCCAGGATGAAACTCTGACAGATAGGGGTATGTCTGGAGTATCATAAATTACTTCAGTTTCTGAATAATGGATTTCTAGAAGTATACAAACTATCCCTGGAATGTTTGGATCAGCTCATTCAGGTGGAGAGGGCAGCATATTCCAGGGCCAGACCACTGTATGATCCATTCTGCTGTATAAAATTCTGTGAGACATTCTTAACACTTGATCCACAATTTATTTATTTTTGGTAGACTGTTTTACCAATACTTGTTGCAGTCATCCACTAAGCACCCCACTTGAACTGGAAGAAAATAATGCCATTGGCGTTCGAAGAGCAGCACAGAGACGACTGAAAGCAGAGTTAGGAATTCCACTGGATCAGGTAAACTCTTCAGAGTAATGATTTCCCTGGGGAAAAGCTGTTGCCTAGCATCTAGCTATTTGGCAAACCCATTTGTCTAATTACAAATCAGACCTATAGTATTTATTTGGAAACTTATAGCCTGCCCTATTCCCAAAAGCTTAGAGCAGGGAACAATTAATGCAATGCCTTTGTCATACCTCTAGGCTATCTCCCTTTTTCAAACTTGTTGTTGTTTAGTCGTTAAGTCGTGTCCGACTCTTCGTGACCCCATGAACCATATTGCGCCAGGCCTTCCTGTCCTTCACTGCCTCCCTGAGTTTGCTCAGTTTCATGCTCATTGCTTCAGTGATGCTATCTAACCATCTCATCCTCTGCCGTCCTCTTCTCCTTTTGCCTTCAATCTTTCCCAGCATCAGGGTCTTCTCCAAAGAGATCTCTCTTCGCATTAGGTGACCAAAATATCTGAGCTTGAGCTTCATTATCGATCCTTCCAATGAGCAATCAGGGTTGATTTCCTTTAAGATTGACTGGTTTGACCTCCTAGCAGTCCAGGGGACTCTTAAGAGTCTTCTCCAGCACCACAGTTCAAAGGCATCAATTCTTCGGCACTCAGCCTCCTTTATGGTCCAGCTCTCACAGCCATACATTACTACTGGATTTTTCAAACTAGTGAGCACAATTAGCTCTAGTGCTTTATCTCAACATCTGTGTTTTGGAACAAGATGGAGAGTGAACTTTCCAAGCTATTCTAAAGTCCCTGTTTTCAAATTCATCCTAAATTACTGAATAGTCACAATATGCGCACTACCAGATGTAAGAAATCAAACTGAGAAAAATTGTCCAGTCACAAGTTAGAACATCATAAAGAAAATCTTTGTTGAGGTTTAAATTTCCTTGTGGCTAAACAATTTTGGACCCAATAATTTTTTCCCACATTTATTTTTCCCAAAGCAGACTCTTTTGTCTTCTTTTGAAGTACTGCCAAAATGACACAATGGTAGAATAGCCACTCAGTTTTGTGTGTTCTCTTTTTGTCCTGGAAATGTGCACAAATAACTAATGAATGGCCAGGTACAGGTCTGGTCTAGGAGCCCATCAATCCTCATTTCCTTCTTGCCAATAGGTATTAGACAAGAAACTTTAGCTACACCTCCATATCTAGAATGCTGAGTGATCAAGAAACTCTGAAATTAGTATTATCAGGAAGGATTTAATCATTTTCATTATTAAAACCTTTTTCAGGAGAGCATATTTTGAACCTGAAATAGGCACGATTCCTTTGTCACTGCATTGCATTCAGAAAAATACCACAATTCTCAGATAATTTAGAGAATATAGGCGGGAAACATTAAGAAACTTTTTCTGTAGTTCTTGTCAGGGCCACTGGCTATAGAAAACATGTTATGAGTCATTGAAACCAGGAAAATTGCCATTGCTCATTCACCACCATGCTTACCCCCAGTAGAAGCAATAACTAGAGAAATCTATGAGGAGGTGTTCTGGGAATGGGGAGGGAATCTCTTAAAGTAGACTTATGAAGCATGTTTGGTCGTAGATCACTCCAGAAGAAATTGTCTATCTAACCCGAATTCATTACAAAGCCCAATCCAATGGAACTTGGGGAGAACATGAAATAGATTACATCCTTTTCGTGCAGAAGAATGTAACACTGGATCCAGATCCCAATGAAATTAAAAGCTGCTGTTATGTGACGCAAGAAGAATTGAGAAAACTCCTGGAAAAAGCTTCTCAAAATGAAATTAAGATTACTCCATGGTTCAGACTGATTGCAGATACTTTTCTCTTTAAGTGGTGGGATAACTTGAATAATTTGAAGAGATGTGTTGATCCTAAGATACACAGAATGTAACAAAACATGCTCCTCTAAAATGAAGTATCTCAAGTTTTTTGTAGTGACCAACTGTTCATTGAAGCAATGTATTTGCAGATTGATTGAAACATAGGAAATAGGAATAGACCCATTAAAATTGTAGGGACTTAGGTATTTTATCTGGCATTACCTAACTGGCTTGCTCCTGGAGCAATTTTTCTTCTTTCACTTCTTGGTACTGTGGAGTCCTTGGGGTTCTCCGAGCTTGGTTCTTTTCTTGCAAACATTTCATTACCTGGCTAGGTAACATCTTCAGTG